ACGCCTTCCGCAACCTGTGGAACCACCGCACCACCCGCTGGTACGTGGGACAACCCGACGTGATGGCTCGCTCCACCTGCCTCGCCGTCAGCGACGACCCGCCTCAGTACGTCTACCCTTGCGGCTATTTCGAGGAACGGGCAGTAAACGCCGTCCTCGCCTACATGCCCACTCAGGTCGCCGACCTAGTGCAATGCTTCTTCTACCAGGTGAGTATGCGGCGCAACCCTGTGTTCGATTGACGAATGAATGAATAATTGTAGCGAACAAGCAACCAATCGAGAAGACCTGACTCAGCTCACTTGGTGGACAAATATTATGAGCGTTTAACGTCTCAAAACCACAGTACGATTACTAGATATGCCGTATTGGTGTGCTCCGGAAATTCCGACAACTTGGGGTTCTTTGACGTGCGCCTAAATCCAAGCACACAGGCCTTTTCGCCTCAACCGATAATGCGGACGCCGTGGCCGATATCGCGACCTGCGGGTCAGCAGTCAAGTTCGTTGAGCGGGTCCACTAGACTTCACTGGTTCACAAGATAATTGATGTGTGATTTGATATAGCAGTGAATTTTTTCATTCATTCACTGCCGTTAACAATAGGTGAATTGATGTTCATAGTAGTGTCCGTCCTGCCTTACATTTATCCTCATAGTTTTAGCACGTTTCCTGTTCCCCTGGAGATTCTAAAGTGTTTTTAACAAACCGAAGATATAGCAGATGAAGGCTGACAAAAAAACGAGATTGACATGAACAGGCATTGTGATCAATATGTCGATGAGTGATGATAAGCGATGCACATGGAGTGAGGGGCTCAATGTACTAGAGGTATACTTCAACAGGACAGACTGTTGTCTGGCGATTCGTTGTGTAGTGCTGGTTAACGTATGACTGATGTGAACAACATATGATCAAGTCATTGCTTACGTTAAGTAGTGTTGTTGGTCAACAGGAATGCCAGGTAGTGCCAGCTATCTCCCATTCACTTTCATTCTCTCACACAGAAAGGAGGATGAAAAAAAGCAGTTGTTTTTAGGCTGGCTCAAATGATTACAGGATATCTGCCACTGCCATTAAAGCGAAAAGTATAAAAACATTACATGCTGCTTGTGCTCACATATGGGCTGTATTGAGGATACTAAAGTAAATACAGAAATAGTTGAAAATGACGCCTATAAACAGACGTCCAATATAAGGTCTAACATTCCAAATATCAGATAATGGCAGAATGGGTGAGGGAACAAACAACGAAATCAGAAATGCTCATGGACATCAAGTGAAAGAAATGAACCTTGGCTGGTCACGAAGTCAGGCTTACGAGGATCCTAATCCTAATGATAACGACACGACAAAAAATATTATTCGGATGCCCCTTTATTAGACTGTAGGTAAGCGCCAAATGTTTACACTGTCTTCAAGCACTGTGATTCCAAAGAGGCTTTCGCATCTTGATAACCACACAGAGCAAGACAACGAGTAGTTACGACGTAACTACAGAAGAAGACAGAAGGACAGGACAATAAAATTGCACTTGAAGTCAGCGCTCTTTCTGTCATTGTGTTTACTGTAGTTACGACGTAACTACTCGTGGTTTTGCGCTGTGCAAATATGTTGATTCCCGATCACCAACTAGCCCAAGCATCTGTCTTATTGATAACCAAAAACCCGAGCCGGCCCTTTGCCCAATTATTTTGATCTCCTTCCAGCCATTCGCCAGGCTCCGGCTGGGGTTAGAATCGAACGGATCTGCCAACTCCACCTCTAGCCGGCGGCGCATAACGAGTCCAGGATCCGTGCAGAGGTACTTGCACTCTACTCTGTCACCATCGGCGCCTATGCCGTGGCAGACGTCGCCCTTGTCGACACCGGCACGCGAGTTGCAGGCCATGCGGAGCGACTACTTCCCGTCGACCGATCACACCGCGGAGGCGACTCCGCCACCCGCGACACCCCCGCCCTGTGTTCGCGTCACCGGGGAGTCCTTCATACCTCACCGGTCTGAAGGCATCGATCAACAATGTGTCGGTAGCGCAGGTAGGAAGCGTTGCGTATTCATCTACCTTTACAGGGAATGAACTGCCTCTTGCCAGTGTACCACCTCTTCTTATCTTCGTTTTACTCGGCGACAACTTATCTTGGCAATGTAGCGAAAGCTACGGTGGCAGGCATCCGCGCATTTGTGTTACTGCGCAAGTATTCCGGCAGATGGGTGACGATGCCAGTTCCGATTTCGGTTTTTCTCAATGGCAGATTGGACATTTCGGGCTGACCACACCTTACTTAAGCATACACGTTGCGTTTGACTTGCTTGGCTTGCTTTGAAAGCCACCTTATGCAACATTTTCAGTATACCTGCGATAACAAGATGGCCAATGTGCGGCCGCAAATTTATTTATTTATTTATTTATTTATTTATTCATACTGCAATCCCTATTACAGAGATTTTAGCAGGGTGGTTACAGATATAATTTTCACAATGTTGGCACTCAAGATTGCATAAACCAAACAAACAAACAAAAAAATAGAACAGCATGATGTAAACAATCAGGTCAAATTTGCTGCAAACAACTCTAAGGACGGCTCCATCACTTGGTTATTAGTTAATCCATTCCACTGAGTTACTGTACGAGGAAAAAAGGAATATTTGAAGCAGTTATTTCGGGACCGGAAAGGGGTTATTGTAAGTTGATGCCTTTGGCGGGTGGCGTACCCAGAAGAAAAGGAAATGATGTTGGAAACATCAAGCTTATAATGCCCTTTAATTATTTGGTAAAGAAATTGTAGTCGTATTAAACGATTTCTTTCGGTAACTGAAGGCTCATTGGCACGATGTAGGAGTTCAGTTATAGAGGTGCGTCCAAAGCTATTAAATATAAAGCGGACTGCCTTCTTCTGTACGTTTTCCAATTTAGTTATGTTAGCTTTAGTGAAGGGGTCCCAAACAATCACTCCATATTCTAACACTGGGCGAATGATAGTCCTGTACGCTAGAGTACGCACCGTGGAATTATAATGTTTTAGAGCTCTTCGAAGGAAGAATAGTTTTCGGTTAGCGTTTGTAACTACGGAGTCAATATGTTTAGTCCAGCTAAGGTCATTGGTAATCCAAATGCCAAGATACTTAATGTTAGTTACCTCAGAAAGGGTGAAACTTGCGGTGGAATAATTAAATAGTAAGGGTTTTTTCTTGTGAGTTATTCGCATAAATACTGTTTTATCGAAGTTAATTGACATCTGCCATAAATCACACCACTTCACAATGTTATAAAAGGCACTATTCAGAATGATTTGAACGGTTACATTGGACATTTCAGAATATATGACACAGTCATCGGCATACAACTTGATTTTTACAGGAACTTCATTCACAATATCATTGATAAAAATTAAAAACAAAAGGGGTCCAAGAACCGTACTCTGTGGGACGCCAGAGTTAACGGTTGCCTCTTCTGAACAGCATTCGTTAAAAACAACAAATTGTTTACGGTTTATAAGGTAGTCTGCTATCCATTTTATTAGGCGCGGATTTTTAAGTGTTTTTTCTAATTTAAAAAGTAATTTCTTGTGTGAGACTTTGTCAAACGCTTTTGAAAAGTCCATAAAAATGGCGTCAGTTTGTGTCCCATTGTTAATTGAAGTTGCGAAATCGTGAATTGTCTCGACAAGTTGCGTACAGGTTGAATAGCCTTTTCTGAATCCGTGCTGGTGTTTTGTTAGGATATTATGCTTACTAAGAAACTCAGAGATATGCGTATGTATTATGTGTTCTATAAGTTTACAGGTAGTTGACGTTAATGAAATAGGACGATAAATTGAGATAAGTTGCTTTTTACCCGACTTATAAAGAGGCTTGACTCTGGCGGCCCTCCAATCATCTGGTACTCGACCTTCGTGTAGCGATTTTGAAAATAAAACATACAGATATTTGGCGATCCACCCGGCATAACGCTTTAAAAATGCGTTTGGAATGCTATCCGGTCCGGGTGTCTTTTTAACATTGAGTTTAAGTAGCATATTTAGAATGCCACTACGACGCTTTTTAATCGTTTTAGCTTCCTTTGAGATGCAACGTGTCCCGAGAAATCCAGGGGTTCCTTTCTTTCTTCTTTTTAACAACACATGGAACGAAGCGATCAATACATTCATTCACCAAATTTTTAAATGAGTCCCAGTGGCCTTGCACATCAGCAGTACTGTTTAAAAACGAGTCGAAGTTGAAGGAGAGGAGATCTATAATTGATGTATCGTCAGCTCGCAAAAAATTTTGAAAACATGACGTTTTTTGTTTCCGTGTCATAAAGCCATTTGCCAGGGTCAATAGTACAGCACTGTGGTCAGAAATACCAGGAACCACTTCACAGGTGGCCGAAGACTTAATACATCCACTAACAAAAAAGAGATCTAGTACTGACTTCGAACTTCCCTACACCCTAGTGAAATCGTGAACAACTTGTAACAAATCAAAAGTAAAAGCAACGTCGAGCATTGCTTCTCCTATGATATCGTTATGCTTAGTAGTTGAAAGAGAGGTCCAATCTATATCTGGTAGGTTGAAATCTCCTGATAAAATTATCCGAGCTCCTGACTTTGCATGAGTGCACAGATATTTTTTTTAATTCATTGATGACTTCAATGGACGAGGTCGGGGGTCTGTATATGGAAGCTACAATATATTGAATATTATTGTGGTACATTTTGCAGAATAAGCCTTTCACTTGTGGAATATCTGGCATCCTAATTACTTTGAGACATTTCTTAAATACAACTGCAACGCCTCCTCCCTTACTTTCGCGATCTTTTCTTAGCATACTATAACCAGGTGGAATTATTTCACTATCAAATATTGTACTATGCAACCATGTTTCTGTAAGTGTTATTAAGTCTGGATCATGAGTAAGAAGCAATAATTCTAATTCAGTTGCTTTGTTTACCACACTTCGGCAATTTTACATTTAGGATTCTTAATGGCTCAGATACAGGATCCCGACGTCAGTTTCCCTTCTACTTTTGAAGTTTAAAGCGCGATTTTTCGGTTTCATTCCAACCATACAGGGTGTCATCAATGCTCAATTTGTCGTATATTAGCTTAACCTTTGCGCCATTTCTCTTTTCTTCAGCCGCGCTCTTCCACAAATTTCTTCGTACTTCCCGTACCCTGTTAGAGAAGTCCTCAGAAATAGACACCGTAGTTCCCTTTAGCTTAAATGCGTTCTTTAATACAGAAGTCTTTTCCCGATAATCTAGAAATTTTATGATTACTGGACGTGGCTTATTTCCAACCTTACGGCCAAGCCTATGGCATCGTTCAATGGCGGATGTCGTTACCTCAAGGTTTTTCTGAAAACATTCTGTTACTTCATTCAGTAGTTCCTCGTTAGATTCTCTAGCAGGTTCTTCTATTCCATATATAATTAAGTTATTTCTGCGGGATCTGTTTTCGAGATCGTCAACTTTCGATACAAGCATACAAATCTGTTCATCTCGTTGTGACATAGCAATCTCGATACCTTGTACTTTACTTGTCAGGGTAGCTAAAGCAGATAACTGTGCTTCAACCCCTTCTATGCGCTGGGTTAAATCAGAAATTTTTTCTCGATTCCAAGTTGAGAGCACTTTATGGCGTCAAGCGAGGCAGTAATTTGTGCCTGACCATTTAACAGTTCTGACAACATCTGCTCTGTAGGACCTGGGTTTGCCTCTACATCCCCGCATCTCAACAGATCTAGCGACACAGAACAAACAGCAGAAATTACACCCCTTAAACGAAGTGGGCAGGGCAGCAGCACCAGAAATGGGTCATCACTACGAAAACACTGAACGCATGAATAATTACAAACCTGCAGCACGAAGCGAAAAGGGTTGAGCATCATGCCAGGAATGCTGCCGCCAAGCCCACTGGTGAAGTCCCGTTCCGCTGACGCTCTTATAGCCGGCGATTCTCCCACGTGAGGTGACGTCACCGAAATGGTCCAGTCGGCATCAGAGACGCCAAGTTTTGCGCAAGATGTAGGTTATCATGGAGTGCCAACTCTCTCGAACCGACACCTTGTTAGGCTTCACACATTTGTTTTGTTTTTAAAAAGGAAGAAAGTTTTACTTAATGCAGTTCGGAAACTATGAATATCGGAAGTTTAAAATGGGTACTACTTCATGCATCGTGCACACTCGAGCGTTGGTGGCGGTTCTGCATCTTTCGCAGGTCCCGTTATGAAAGGTTTTTGCCAGTTTATCACTTACCCACCATGTGGATCAATTAAAATACGCCAGCGCACTCACAGTCGTCATAATCAATGACACGAGGGTGCATTCACACAGGGAATAGTGAACCAAAACTCAAGCTTGTGGAGCGACGACAACGCCGCACCTGGCTCTGGCGGCAAGCTCGGGTGAATTCGAGGATAGGCGCGGCAGAGGGAGAAAACAATTCAGTGTGTTTCTCTGAAGCCATAGCGCGTGCGACACGCGCAGAACGCGTTCTGCAGTCGGTGCGGGGAACTTCGGCACCGTGCCGTCCACCGTGGCACGCTAAAACAAGACTCTCGCTGTGCGAAGTTGTCTTTGCGCGATGGTAGAAGCGAGAAACGAAAGCGTCGGTGAGGTTTCAAGTATTGTTGGGTCGTGGGCTGCCACAACAATGCAGGCAATACCAAGGGACGCTTTCCACGTGTAAAGTTGTATAGGTTCCCAGGCTAGTCATGCCAAGGAACCGAACACTGAGCCGCCTTCGCGAAAGATAGAGGGTACATGACACGAGAGCCGGAACAAACGAGACGAACACTTAGCAAACTGACTCACGCTGGTTAAAGGCTTAGAGCTCAGCTTGAAGCCTTACAGCGACGTGAGCGGGTATTGGTCCCGCGGCACGGAGGACATGGCTCTAGAACTTCTCAGACATTTTAATGCCATCATGCTGCAAACGTTTGCATATGACAGTACACGGCTACTACTGCTAGGTACCACATCAAAGCAACAAATATATGATTTTCGTAAACTTAAATGCAGCACATCGATAGAGTACGTGACTTCATGTCTACAGAATGAGACTTACATGGAAGCATACGTCGTACTTCGTATTTTTACAGACCTGAGAAATGCATTTTGCAGCAACTCGGGCGTCCTCGTCTGCTATCGCCTGTTCCACATCATAAATGTGACTAACGAGCTTTACTTCTTTTTGATAGATTCAATTTTCGGAAGTGCTTGTCCAGCCATGAGATCTTCTTGACGCCGCACTGCAGGCGTTACCTTGTGAGGTGACTCTAATGCACCGCGCGCTCTGCACGAGCACGTAAAACAGCGGCAGAGCGTTGGCGGGAAGGGAAAACGCGCGATATACATCCCAGATTTCTGCCTTTATACCAGTGATTGCACTGCCTGTTCAGAATCGCAGCGCCACAACATGTTGGTTTAGCTCCCTATTGACAATGATCGTTTTATTGATCACAATGGGTAGCAATTAAGCCGAGTAAATAGCGAATTGAGTCGGCGCAGGTACTAGCCGAATGTTTAGAGTTTTTTGCGATTTTAGGTAAATTACTGGGCATTCATTCTTCGTTACTTATGTACCTTATATAACTTTAGATTTCGTTAATTTGTTTAATATTGTTTTTTACCATTACCGGCTTTGCATTACAGCCAGAGTTGCCTGATGCTAATGAGCTAGCGAGCAAATAATAATCATGAAATTAGCCCTCTTTCAAAAGAAGAGCACGATTTACACGAGGACGTCCAAAAGAAGTGGAAATGTAGATTTCTCACTTATTGGAGGTGTTCTTAGTTATGATCAAAAATGTCCCTGAAATACGAAGGGGCAATGACAAAAATCACCGTTATTTCGTACAAAAAGACATTCACATTATAAACGAAAGCATATACTTACTTTTCAACATTTTTTTCAGTATATTCTTGATTCAATTAAGTTAACAATTGCCAATGCATAATTACCGTTACTTGTTGGTTTTGCTAACATGGGTTCTACTTTCACATTCTGCTACTCAGGCTTACCAACAAACGCGCTATTGGTGAACGTGATCATCATGCTAACTGCATTTGCTGAAAGAATGCAAATTAGCCACACAAAAAAACGCAACAAGCATCTGGAAAATTTTACAATGACTCGTCGAGAAGAGAAGCCCAAAACCGCAAATATAAATAAAACTGACAACTCCGTTTAGACCTGTATCGCCAGCTCGATTGATTGATTTGATTGATTTGTGGGGTTTAACGTCCCAAAACCACCATATGATTATGAGAGACGCCGTAGTGGAGGGCTCCGGAAATTTTGACCACCTGGGGTTCTTTAACGTGCACCCAAATCTGAGCACACGGGCCTCGACATTTCCGCCTCCATCGGAAATGCAGCCGCCGCAGCCGGGATTTGAACCCGCGACCTGCGGGTCAGCAGCCGAGTACCTTAGCCACTAGACCACCGCGGCGGGGCAGTGTATCGCCAACTCAGTGACCATACGCTCGAGACAAAGGATGAATGGCAGGCATAATGTCACGCACTTTATAAAAATGCGGACGCGCTATTGTTACACACCTGATTGCTCCATAGGAGGGTTTTTACTTAGCCTTATTTGTTTTCCGTTTTCGCATGAACTGTTGCGTGTGAAAGACTTAGACAAGAGACAACACGTCGGCCCAGTTACACAAAAGAACACAGCACACTGCGTTCGTGTTTTTGTGTGTGTGCATGCGTGCGTGTACTATACACGAAACAATACAGGAGCAAGTGGTCACATGGGCTTTGCGATTGCGTGGCTGAAACGCTGAAGCAAGCAGCTACCTTCTATATGCGAATATGTGATTGGTTGATTGAATGATTCCTTACTTTACTGAATACCTAATAATAATTATTAATAACTCTATCAATGGTAGATTGATTGATTATGTTTTCTTTATCACCTCTGCCTGTTTACATGCTTTTTGCCCCACGTTCCACATCAGTGAAAGCTAAGGCGTGGGTTGCCAACAGCGTACCACCACCTTCGCCAATCGACCTCGCAAGCAGGCTGGCGGTCATCAAACAGTTGCCACAGCAGGCGGAGCCACAGCTGTCGCACCAATCACTGGTGCCGTACGTGAGCCCTGATGAGTCGTCCAGTTCGGACGTGACCATCTCTCCCGAGCTGTCATCAAACAGCATTTCTCGAGGCTCCCTGTCGAAGTCGACGTCCCCGGTGCCGCCCTTTGCCCAGCCGACGTCCTCGCTTCCGATGTCACCGCAGGCTCTGACATCACTGCAGCCTCCGGCTACCGAGAAAAGTGACGTCGAGGGCGCCAGTGGCGTTGACGGCGGCACTGGCGAGGCGTCCATGACGCAGAGCGAGGACAGTGGCTCCCTCGTTCTGAACTTGATGGACGGCACCCAGTGTGAGGTCATCGCCTCGATGTTTGCCTCGGCACAGCGCATGGCGCAGGACCACGACCAGACACCATGTGCCCACGCCAGGTACAAAAGCGTACGCAGTAGGCGTCTCTTGCATCCAACCTACTTGTATGAACAGTAGTGACGGATCGAAACAGGATGAATAGGTCTAAGTGGCACACATACGTCGCTTTCCACCACCTTCAGTTCGGGTCTTATCGGCGTCATTTCTACTTGAACGCGTAGACGCCAACATTGAACGCGTAGACGCCACGACTTGAACGCGTAGACGCCAACATTGAATGCGCAGAACTTTATACGACTTAAATGCGTATATGCCAACGTTGAATGCGTAGAACGCCATTTCTTGAACGCGTGGACGCCAACGTTGAATGCGAAGGACGCCATGACTGGAACGCATACACGCCATTGAACGCGTAGAACGCCACGAGTTGAATGCGTAGACACCAACAGTGAATGCGCAGAACGCCAAACGACTTGAATGCGTAGATGCCACCTTTGAATGGGCAGAACACCAAGACTTGAACGGGTAGACCCCAGCCATGAATGCGCAGGATGCCATGACTAGAACGCGTGCGCGCCAACATTGAATGCATAGAATGCCACGACTTGACCGAGTAGACACCAACATTGAATGCGTAGAACGCCATTATCTCTACAAAGCAAGGTAGTAGTAATATGACCTGGCTATCACAAGTCTTTGCGCATACAAGTTGAATGTCACATTTGAATCCGTTAGTGCTGTACTAGGTGTACAAGACGAGCTTTTTTGTGCAACCCACGATGGTGCTATGGTGGTTGTGATGCTTGACTGCTGACCCAAAAATTGTACGATTGATTACGAGCCGCGTCGAAATGGACGCGAAACGCTACCAGCCCGAGTGCTTAGTCTTTAGTTCCATGTTGAGGGCAAGAATGTTCCAATTTAGGCTAACTGGGCTGAGTTATTCATTAAGGTTATTCATTATTATGAATTATTCATTGCCACGTTCGCTCTTAGGAGCGAACGCCATATACCGGACAGGTGAGAGAACAAAGACCCCAGGTAGTTGCAGTTTCTGGAGCTCTATAATAAGGCATCTGTCATCATCGTATCAAGGTTTCGAAACTTAAAAACGTCGAAAAGTGTTATATAATGAAAGGTTGTGCCCTCCTGAGGACTTCCTGTGGCGACAGCATGTAACTTCGAGTTGATAATAAAAATGTAGTGTGCCACTCTATAAATAAGTGGCACTGTGAAAATGCTTGCGTGCAGCGTGATACGACCATTGCCTCCACAAGCGGAGGCGCTTCCACTCGGGCTTACACCCCCGTCGCCAGCCGCACCACTGGTGGCGCAGCAGTGGTATTTCCGGCCCCGGGGTCCCGAACCGTGGTCTCCACGCTCACCTTATCACATCGGAGTTCGGCCGCTGCCACCGGACGCCATGCGCGTGATCTCACCACCGGATGAGGGTGACTCAGTCACCATATCGCCCACAGGGGAGCACAGTGGCAGCCCCATCGACTCGGCCACTCGAGTGGAGGTAACAAAGTTTCCAGGGTCCCTTACACACGCGCTTAAGACAACTTGAAGGCGAATGCCATCTTTTCCTCTCGGCCGATGTATCGATACTGCCCCGCTAGCCTTCGGAAGTTTCCTTCATCTTAATAGAACGCTTTGCTCAGCGAGGTCGTGCATTGTCTGAACATAAACGGAGAGCGCAGAAAGACTAGTACCGGGAGACAAATATAGACGGAACGTGCGCTCACTACGAAATGATTTTATCATTACATAACTGTGGGAAATACACAGACCGTATGTTACTAATGCGGCATTACTTATACTAGACGTTACGTGGATTGCTAGTTAAGGACAGTACATGAATCACTACAGAACGAAAAAAGCTTACCGCTAGATGCCTACGGGATCAAGTTTTTACCTGTTAATGAAGAACACAATTTATTTATTATTTGGAAAAAGTTCATGCCATTCTGCCATGCCGGCATCGGTACACTGCCTGTTTGTGAATATTATTTGGAAATGGTCATGAACTTAATTTAAGTCTGAAAAATTAGAAAACCACTACCAAACTGGCTCGGACAACTTGAGCCACTTATCAATATAAAGAAATTTGGATGATTATGTGAAGAATGGGATTTGTTACCTCTGTATTCCCTGTTTATGCACTATATCATTACTGTATGATGTACTAGAGACAGTAATAAAACGAGAAAAAATTGGCAGCATATCCACGGAGTGAATGATGGAGAGTGGGGTGAAGCATTCGTCCATCCATTCGTTCTTGCTTCCGTCCGTCCATGCGTACCTCTGGGTGACCGTCTTTGCGTCCATTCACCCGTCCGTGCGTGCGTCTGTTCGTGCGTCCGTCCCTGCGTTCGTCCATGCATCCGCTCCTGCGTCCGTTCAAGCGTCCATGCGTGCATCTGTCTGTGTGTCCGTTCATCCATCTATTCAACACTCCAAGTACCACCATCTCGCATCTTTTCATCATATATTCCCCATATAGAAGCACCGCCATCCAGCGGACATTCCAAGGACTGAACGAGAGGCGGGACACGCATACTTTCTTACGGCTTGCGCTTCGGGTCTACTTCCCACCTTCAACCACCTCGAGTTCATGGTATATACTAGTTCACTGTATTCATTGCACTGCGGCCCAACGCTCAATAAACCGTTCTAAAACCAAGGACGTTACGCCGAGCGAGTATAACGTAGCAACCCTTTCTTGTCAGATAGTGCTCAATGTGCATGTCAATGGCTGCTAATAGGAATCACAGCGTGCGCGTTAACTAAAAGCTGAATGTTCCTGCCTCTCATTCCCCCTTAGCAGCCATTGGCATGTACATTGAGCACTATCTTTTATTGTTCATCAACGCACAGAAGAAATCTCTTACCGGCACCACCTTGGAGGTCAAAATGTTATACTTGTTACACACTACAATTGCTACGAGGAACGAACAGGTGTTGCTATAAGGAGCTTCGCCCCCTAAAATCTTTGGCTAATTATGCACCCACCGAACGGGCAGGTGTGTAAACCAGTGGGCCCGGGAGCACGACTTGACGCTCTCAAACGATAAGGGCGCGCACCTTTCCGCGCAGTGTGCAGTGTGTGGCTGTGTGCTTTTCTTTGCTTGATTTCAGGTGCTGGCAAGCAGCTGGGAAATCGTTGTAGGTGAATTGTGTGAGGTATTCTACTTGAAAATAAAGGGTGTGGATTCCGTCGACCACACATCAATATAATAACGGGAGCGTGAATTTCAATGACTTTGTCGCAATATGACTTAGTCTAAAAATAGCAGTTTTGCAATGTGTGAGCTTCCACGTTTGTGACGTACGGTCTGCATATTTCTCACAACAATTTCATTATAAAATCAATTTGTAGTGAGCACCCGCCCCGTCTGCTTGTCTTATGTGTCTTGTCGCTTTGAGATATGTGTTTGTTTTTTTCCCTTTATACACCTAACGAGGCGTTCCACGGCCTGTGGCATCGGACAATCTTCGAGAAAGGTACGATACAGTGTGATGAATTGATCACGTGATTTTGTGTGATATGATGTCATAATTTATAAACAATAAAAATTTGTGACGTCATTGTGATAACTCGGTTACGTCATTCCGCAATGATTTCTTCCATCACTCGACCCTGATGCCACCAGCGTGGAACGCGGATGCCGATCGTGAAATTTCGCGTTTGATGAACGTTCTAATAAAAATATCCGAAATCAAATATCATCATCAAACATCATCATCAATATCAAACATCAAATATATTCGACAACAGGCGAAGTTTGCCTTAATTTAGTCATCTGTAATTAACGCTAACAAGCCTTTATGCTTCAAGCCAACACCAGTCGTTGGAAACGCCTGCGGAAGATATGCGCTGTTAGTCAGCCGCCTGACCTGCTCGGTTGGTCAAGAGGGGCCATATTTAGAGCAAGTGCACCGTTATAAAAGGCCTCCAAAGTGCAAAGCAAGACATCGTATTGAATAAAATCATTTCGCATGGGCGTTTATATGCCACCTAAGCGAGAAAATCGTCCGTCTGTTTGTCCGTTGATAACCTATGACGATTACTCCCACAAACACATAGAGAAAAGAACATTTTCGTCGTAGAGCGCCGTTGAACATGGGTCCCACTGCCCTGACTTGCCAACTGTATCTCGCTTTTGGAAGAAGAGCTCAGATGCATTTGAATGTCCTGTGATAGTTTTTGCAAGTGAGGCACTTGCGTGTAGGGGAACACAATGATCCAACGTGCGGCATTATATTGTCACGACGTCAAAACAGAGGTCTTGCCGTAGAGACTGAGACACCAGAAGCAGGTCGATCTTTTTAATTAGAACGCGCAAGCGAGTTGTTCTTCTTCGTCCATTTCGTAGTCCTTCGTGGCACATGCACAACTGTCATCGTCTTTCTTGGGCAAGCACGTGACATTTGCCTCCCTCCGAAAGAAGCATCGTCCGGATGCGCAACTTAGGTGCTCTACCAGGCGTACGAACTGGTCGTACGAAAACGGTAACCGCGAGCTAATTAACTCGATAAATATGGTTTCATACGCACGACGTGCACGACTTCGGGCAAACGCTTTTGGCGCTTAGAACAACTTCGTAGTTCACGTCGTTCAAGCCTCGCGTGACGCTGTATGGACCAAAGTGCCGTCTCAGCAGTTTCTCAGACAGTCCACGTCGACGTATCGGAATCCAGACCCACACTTTGTCGCCTGGTGAGTAGCTAACAAACTTGTGTTGGTTGTCGTAGCGTTGTGCATCTTGATGCTGCTGATGACAGATGCGAACGCGCGCGAGCTGTCTGGCTTCTTCGGCACGCTGAGTGAATTCTTCGGCGTCTACATGGATGTCGTCACACTCATGCGGCAGCACGGCGTCCAATGTTGTCGTGACTTGGCGACCATAGATCAGACTGAACGGTGTCATTCCAGTGGTTTCTTGTCGAGTGGTGTTATAAGCAAAGGTCACGTACGGCAATATCTGATCCCAGTTTTTATGTTCTGTGTCAACGTACATACTGATCATGTCTGTGAGGGTCCTATTGAGGCGCTCCGTCAGTCCGTTTGTCTGCGGATGGTATGCAGTTGTTCTCCGGTGAGCTGTACCGCTGAGTCTGAGAACCGACTCCAAAAGCTCTGCGGTGAAGGCAGGTCCTCTGTCTGTGATCACTGTTGTCGGAGCGCCATGCCGAAGGACGATGTTTTCTATGAAAAACTGAGCGGCTTCTGCTGCTGTGCCACGCTGCATAACTTTAGTCTCTGCATAACGGGACAGGTAATCAGTGACCACAATAATCCATCTGTTCCCTGTTGTGGAAGTTGGAAAGGGACCCAGGAAATCCATTCCACTCTGGGTGAACGGCTTTTCTGGTGCTTCGACTGGATGTAAAAGAGCGGCTGGCTTGCTGGGAGGCGCTTTGCGTCTTTGGCAGTCGGTGCACGTTCGCACGTGATGGTTAACCGCAGCAGGTAACTCTGGCCAGTGTTACTTGCATCGTAGTCGGCACAATGTTCGGGTGTAGCCTAGATGACCAGAAGTTGCTTCATCATGGCACGCTTCCATAATTTCTTTTCGAAGAGAGGCAGGCACGACGAGCAAGTGCGGGTTACCAGTTGGTGAGAAGTTTTTCTTATTAGGAACATTGTTTCGCAAGCAAAAAGATGGCAGTCCTCTAGCAAATAACCGCGGCACGTCTTTACGTCGTCCTTCTAAATATTCAATGAGTGGTAACAGCTCAGGGTCACTGCGCTGCTCTCGTGCAATAGTGGCTGTGTTGACAACACCCAAGAATGCCGCGTCGATGTTTTCGTCATCAGGAGCGACAGTTTCCACTGGCGACCGTGAGAGACAGTCGGCGTCGGTGTGCCTCTTCCCAGATTTGTAGACGATGGTCATGTCAAACTCTTGAAGTCTTAGGCTCCAGCGCGCCAAACGACCAGATGGATCTTTAAGGTTGGTGAGCCAGCACAAAGAGTGATGGTCGCTAACAACCTTGAAGGAGCGGCCGTACAAATACGGACGAAATTTGATGACTGCCCACACCACGGCGAGACACTCCTTCTCGGTGGTCGAGTAGTTCTCCTCCGTGCGAGAGAGAGTTCTGCTGGCGTAGGCTATTACTCTTTCACAGCCGTCTTGCCACTGCACCAGAACGGCACCTAGACCTACATTGCTGGCGTCAGTGTGAAGTACTGTAGGGGCGTCCTGGTCGAAGTGCGCAAGGACTGGATGTGTTTGCAAGCGTTGTCGCAGTTCATTGAATGTCATTTGCTCCTGTTCACCCCAAAAGAAGGGGACGTCCTCACGTGTGAGTCGTGTCAATGGCGCCGCAATAGACGAAAAGTCCTCGATAAATCGCCGGTAATAGGCGCACAACCCTAAGAAGCGTCTCACAGCCTTTTTGTCACGGGGTGCAGGAAATTGCGCTACGGCCTCTATTTTGGCCGGGTCACGTCGAACACCCTCGTGACTGACGACGTGGCCTAAGAAGCTGAGTTCGTTGAAACCAAAATGACATTTTTCTGGTTTTAAAGTCAGGCCGGCCGAGCGTATGGCTTGGAGTACGGTGGATAGACGGCTGAGATGTTCCTCGAATGATGCTGAGAATACAACAACATCGTCCAGATAGACCAAGCACGTTTGCCACTTCAGGCCCGATAGTACGGTGTCCATGAGACGCTGAAAAGTGGCTGGCGCCAAGCACAACCCAAACGGAAGCACCTTAAATTCATAAAGGCCATCAGGCGTCACAAAGGCCGTTTTTTCACGATCTCTCTCGTCGACTTCTATCTGCCAGTAGCCGCTTCGGAGGTCCATTGAAGAGAAATAGCGCGCATGACGCAGCCGATCGAGTGAATCGTCTATGCGAGGCAATGGATAGACGTCTTTCTTCGTGACTTGGTTCAACTTGCGATAATCAATACAGAAACGCAAGCTGCCGGCTTTTTTCTTGACCAAAACCACGGGGGACGCCCAAGGACTTTTCGAAGGTTGTATGACGTCATCCACGAGCACCTTCTGTACTTGCTTCTGCATCTCCTCGCGTTCTTTCGGAGCCACACGGTAGGGGTTATGCCGAATCGGTCGCGTGTTGTCTTCGGTGATGATGTGGTGCTTGGTCAATGGTGTCCACTGGACCTTTGACGTACGCGAAAAGCAGTCTTCGAATTGGTGTAGAAGTCCAAGCAGGCGCTTCCTATCAGAGGACGGTAGCGTGGAGCAGATGTCCACCGACAAAGTTGTCGAGGCAGGGACTATCGCGCAATCTGGTTGCAAAGCACAGCAATCCCCGGTTTGGTCTATATCGTCGAAGTAGGCAATTGCGGTACCCTTCTGGATTTGACGGCGCTCGTTGCTGAAGTTTGTAAGGAGCACTTCTGCCTGTCCACCAGTAAGCGTTAGAATGCCTCTCGCGATGGAAATGCCTTGAGTGAGCAAAAGAGCGACTATGTGCTCCACTATCACATCCTTATAGGAAGACCACCCACTGGACACAGACACAAGGCAGCAGGATCTCGGTGGGAGCGTCACATCGTCGGCTATTCGCAAACTGCCGCGTAGTTCGTCTCTGCTGTCGTCGACATACGGATGTGTGCAAAACGTCACCATACGTTGAGGAATGTTGATAATAGCGCCATGATCTCGAAGAAAATCCATGCCCAAAATTAGCTCTTTACAGCAGTCTGGCAACAGGACGAAAGTGGCCACGAAGCTAGAATCCCCAATGCGAAGTCGAGCGGTGCATTTACCCGTGGGAATCATCAGCTGACCACCAGCACTCCTTATGTGTGGCCCTGTCCACGGTGTCTTTACCTTTCTAAGGTGGTCGGCGAGTTCTTGTCGCATGATTGAGAAGTCGGCGCCAGTGTCGACCAGTGCTGTAACGTAATGTCCGTCAATGAAAACGCCAAGATCAGCACGTACAACTTCACCGGCATTAGTATTCGTCGTCGTATTCGTCGTCGTATTCGTCGAGGTTGTCGTCATACCTTCTTGCGATGATAGGGGGAACTTTTCGGTGTCTCGACGATTGGCAACCTTGCCCCCGGAGGTAGCAGCAGTTAGTTTCCCCGGCGCGGGCTAGGCGAACGGCCTCTGGTGACGTCCGCGTAGCTCTGAGGGAAGTCACGGTGACGCGCAGGAGATGGAGATCGCCAGCGACGCGGTGATGTTGCTTGGCCAGTCGACAGTTGATCGGCATCGTGGGCACGACGTTCTTCAGAGCGGAAAGAAGCGGGACGAGAAAAGTTCCCGAAGCCGGAATCGCTATGACGGCAATAGCGAGCAATGTGACCTGGTTCTCCGCAGCGGAAGCAAATAGGTCGACGGTCGGCCATGCGCCACAAGTCAGTTCGGTGAACTGGTGGTCGTCTCATGGAATCCCGTTGCCACCAAGGTACGGCCGCGGGTCGTGGCTGGAAGGATGTCGCCACAAATGACGGTGGAGGACGACGGACCACATCAGCATAGCTCGCTGGATGTGGCTCAGGACTTGGCGCCGGTGGTGTAACGGCTTGCCTCAACTCCTGGCGGACGATTTCGGCAACAGATGCGACGGGCGGTTGGGTAGGAGGGACACAGAGGGCCCGAAGTTCCTCACGCAGTATTTCCCTAATCATTTGTCGCAGGGAACTCTCACACACGGCAGTGTTCTGAGCTGCAGCACTTACTGCCGTGTGGTTCGGCAGGCGGGCAAAGTGTCGGTATCGTTGTCGCAGTGCGCGCTCGATGACAGTCGCCTCTCTTATGAATTCATCTACTGTTGTAGGTGGATTTCGTACGAGGCCCGCAAACACTGGTTCTTTGACACCCTGCATTAGGTGACGCACCTTCTTCGCCTCGGGCATGTCAGGGTCAGCTCGTCGAAACAGACGGATCATACCCTCTGCGTACATGGCGGCTGTTTCGTTGGGTTTTTGTGCGCGAGCCTCAATCAGTTGCTGTGCGCGATCCCGTCGGTCCGTGTTCAAAAATGTGGCGAGGAGCTTTCGGCGTAAATCTTCCCAAGATTGGAAAGTAGCCTCGTGGTTCTCGTACCACGTGCGAGCGCTATCTTCCAGGGCGAAATATGCACGGCCAAGTTTGTGCGGTTCGTTCCAGTGGTTAGATACAGCGACCCGTTCGAACTGTTCGAGCCAGTCCTCGACATCCTCGTACTCTTCTCCATGAAAAACAAAACTTCTGGAACGCGAGGATGTTCAAGAGTCACCTGGGAGGGAAATGTGGTCTGCGATGGAAGGGTAGCCGTGGATGTGGTAGGAGCTGCCATGCTGGTTTGAGGTGGAACAGGTACGGCCTCCGGACTTAGGCCTAGTAGGCGCCGACTGAATCGGCGCACCGGAGTCGTGACGAGGGGCTTGGTCTCTGGACTAGATGAACGGGTCCAAACAAAACTGTCCTGCATCCAGTTGTACCCAGCACCTCCACCAGTGTCACGACGTCAAAACAGAGGTCTTGCCGTAGAGACTGAGACACCAGAAGCAGGTCGATCTTTTTAATTAGAACGCGCAAGCGAGTTCTTCTTCTTCGTCCATTTCGTAGTCCTTCGTGGCACATGCACAACTGTCATCGTCTTTCTTGGGCAAGCACGTGACAATATATACTTTCTAAACTGTTCCCGAAGAGTCATTCCAAGTAGCTTTTTCAGAAAAGCCTATCAATTCTGTGCGATTCTTTTCGCAGTCCTGTTAGTAAACAAGTGTTAATCTTTGTGTGTGTTTTTTTTTCTTTTTTTACTTGTATTGTTCATTTGTTTTGCCTGGCTCTCTCTTTCTTTCTCTCATCGTATAAAGTGAAGCGCTGAAGTTGAGCTCCTCGGTTTCATAATCAGGTCGCGGTTCGATCCCTGAAGCCGCGGTCGCATTTCGATAGAGTCGAAAAGGTAGAAGGCCGTAGTACTGTGCGATGTCAGTACAAGTTAACGAAAACAAGATAGTCAAAATTTTCTAAGCACTCGTACTACAGCCTTTCTCGTATTCATATCGCCCTTTTGCCGCGTGAAGCTACTCACACACTCGCTATCAGTTACATGTTCAAACACGATGACTATAGCGTAACGCAGCAAGGGCGTCAACGAGAGCTACAAGTTTCACCTTCTCTGTTTGTCGACCTGCATTCCTTCCAGGCGGTGTGGACAAGCGCTCCCACCGGCGCCCCAGGGGACGACGCCACCCCCGAAACGCCCCTACTTCCCGAAGCCTCGGCGCCGCCTCTCAAGCGCATGTCAGAGACGTACGCGCAGTACCTAGTAAGGCTTCGCAAGAGCGGCCAGCTGGATGCGGAAATAGAAGACGGGAGCGACTCCTTCGAAGGAGGATCCGGGCCGACCAGGGACGCTTCCCAGGACCAAGGCGCCAGACGTCGCGCCTCTAGCGGCAAAAGCGATTCGGAGGATCGCCATTAGGGACCAGGGCGCCTATTCGCGCAAATTATATTATGAACAAAAAAATTTGTTGGGGAATATCTCTCCTAGGATAAGCTACATGAAAAAAAAGAAGGCTTGTCAACATTTCGGCGTTAATCACTCTGATTATTTCATGCAAGCTTTTTAGGCTATAAATTTGTATAAATAACGAACGTGTAAACTCCTAATCGCATATACATGTGGGGTAGTGGCTTAGCGTCTCCAACAAAGAACGGACGATGTGTGGTCTATGCGGCCAACGTTGACGCCAGCTAGCCACGACACGACGGGATCGGTCCAGAGCAGCGAAGAAAGACGTCCACTCGACTCGAGAGCTCATCACACACACTACACACTTGTTCGCATATCACCTCATAAGCGCACTCAAGGGCGCTTATGTTGTTGTTTTTTTGTGACTACGGGAACTCCTCCTGTATATTCTTACGATGTGTTCAATCCTTTGTTTGATTTAAAATATATGATTGATTCTGATTCTAAAGACGCGTAATCGCCACTGCCGAGTGAGACACCGCTCTGCCGCTGAAGACATCAATACTAGAGAAGAAGAAAACCACCAACCCAAGAATGATATGATAAAAAAACCAAATAGCACACCAAGCCAGGATTCTGAAGAAAAAGTAACGGTACCCGTGGAAATGAAACGATAACCTTATTGGTATATTCTTCTTTTCTCTTATTGGCCCTAAATCTATTTGACTGCCTGACCGTTGGCTTGTTCAGCATTTCCGTTCAATATTTACGATTTCATCTCTATTGGATGCTTATGTATATACATCCCACTCGCCTAATGATCTTGTCACCCAGTTCTTAACCGATCCCGCTTTGTGGGTGAGTGCCACACATGTGAGAGGAACGCCATCATCAATTATTATCAGGATGATCACCCTTGATGAAAAGGATTTTCATATACGTGGTGTGCATTGTTGTCTGCATGGTTGAATAATTGTGTGATTGATATAAGTGTATGTGAGAATTTGTTCGGAAATGTCTCTCTCCGAATATGTAACGGGAAAAGCAGAGGGTGTGTGTCAAGTACCACTTTTTTAGATAGCATTGATTCTTCCCAGAAACTAATCAAAACAGCACAGCATGATACTGAAAACCAATTATGCCGCTGCTCTCGCGGATAAAACGTTCAGGTTGATTGCTACTAACCAACTTCATGCCCATGAGCAAAGTGCGATATAGTACTAATAACCTTCTTTTGTAACCAAAACTATCGTGAAAGGGATGAAAGGATGTCAAGGTTTCCACGTTAATTATTCCTATTGAAATGTTGTGCCATTTATTTGTAGGTTGTATGGGCGTACTAATAAAGGTTACAACAGAAGACAAACTGTGGCTCATACCCACTATGTAACAATCGTTTTATCGTACATTCGGCTCTTCGACAGGTAGCAACAAGGCGGAGCTTGACCCTGATTCAAGCTAGAGAACGCGTGCCAGTGCTGAACTTCAAGCTGCTCGCCTAATCGGAAGCCGGAAGAGTATGCACGTCACGGCATCTTCCGTTGCGAAGGAACAAGGTCCAGGAGTCGAAACGTCAGATCTTGATAGCAATCCGGGGCCGAGATGCCTTGGAGCGCTACGCGTTGTAGCGTGGTGGTCTGACAGAAATTGGCGAACGTATACTGTTATCGAGTTTCCGCCCGGGTTTTGTGTGTGCCTTTCCTTCTCCTCTCCGGCCCGCGCATAGGGTGCCGGGCCTCATTATCTTCGCGCCACGTGTCCGGCACACGACACAACATAAACCTAGCGCGACGACGCACGAGGGCACCAGACAAAAATACAGGACAACCCCTCAATCGTTTTTCAAGGCCAATGACAAAATCATTCTCCATAAAGTAGCCACGGTTATGAAGTTGATACAGATAATATAGAGGTGAGAAGACACATTTGTCTTCCACCCTGAAGAATGCTCGACCGGGTGTCCTTGCGCGTGTTCGCTAGGATTATGGAAGCATTCACTCAGTCCTAACTAATCCTGCTGAATGCATGATTGAGTACACTTAGAGCACTCGTATTCGACTATCTTACCATGACGCACGTCACCAGAGCACACTCGTGAGCTCAAAAAACAGTCCGTAGAAAGTACCACTTTTATCTTTATCGATTTTTGGATAAAAGCACTGCCCGTAGTCATGACAAAAGGGAGTGGTTGCCTGCTGACGTGGTCCTTCTCACGATGGGCGTAACAGCAGGACCAACATTCCGCAATACGATTGTCTTGTGCGAATGAAGACGAAGACGACACATGCGGTGGTGGGTAGGGGAGAGTCGTCCGCCTTAGAGCCACTCGTGGTGACTTTGTGGCGGACCACGTTAGCAGAGACATGGATCATCCCCGCGGTGACCGAGACCGCCTGCTGGGCATGGGCGTGCTCTCCGGCCTCACGTTTCTCGTCCTCTGTCTCACGCCTCCGCTGCGCTTCCTCGTCGGCCTCGTTTCGAACTTCATCTTAGCTGGCATCATCGGGTTCCAGCTGGCCGAGCTTATGGACCGCAAGTACCGCAAAGAAGTCCGGCTCAAGCACCCCACCGTCTTCATCAGTGGTGAGATGTCGTGGCCCCGAGCTCGGATCGTGGGTTCCCTTTCTCTAAATGAGTTAAATGGTGGGCGAATTGGTGCTTGGTAGTAAGTATTATTGTAAGTACCGCATCAAAGCGGCACAGCCCACTGCATGGCGTGCTCCTATCATGAACCGCTTTACCAGAGAGAGAAAACCTAACGCCCAAGTGAAAAAAAAAACTCGCAAAACGTTACAGTGAGTGAGTGAGTGAGTGAAACAACTTTATTTCTTCAACCATAGATACGAGTAAACTAAACATCACCCAGCTGAATCCCCTCGGGAACCATCAAGTTAAAACTGACGGCTATCACGCGTGGACCCTCTCGACAGATACGATATGGGAGGCTTGGGCTTAGGTTTTAAGGATCTTCACCATTTCGTCTTGAGTGAAAGGGGGCTAGGTGAAGGTGCAGCCCCATAAGACCCGCTAGACATTCCGCATAACCACCGCACACCAAGTGGTGAGAGCTTGGTACCATTCCGGGCATATTGTGAGTGCTGCCGTTAGAAGACCGTGTGAACGACGCATTGAACGTACTGTACAACAAAGAAATGAAGTTTATTTCGACCTTAGTTTTGGTAATCTCTATAGTTTTATTCTATACCGTGGGTGTAGTGACAATTCACCTACCGGTACCGATCAACCATGGGCAGATTGCGGAGCTTGCCGTTTATCTGTTTCGCATGCCTGTGCATTTTGTACTTGACAATCAACTGCGGCGCTTGGCTGGACACCACAAGCACTTCTTTGAATCGAATCATCGTGTCTTCTTAGTGCACTTTTAAAGCCAAACTGGCAGTTGTACCGGCAAAATTAGTTCCTCAGATTTCGCAACGCAACCCCACAGGCTGCGACAGCGGTCTGGGTTTGCACACGGCCCGGCGCCTCCACGAGCACGGTTTCGAGGTTCACGCTGGCGTTCTGGACCCCGGTTCGGAGGGAGCGACCACTCTAAAAGGCATGCGGGTCCACGTGGTGCCCCTGGACTACATGGACGAGGACAGCATCGTCCAGGCCTACAAGACGGTCACCACTCAACTCGGTGACAAAGGTGCGCCCTTCAGACGCGAGTTATGATGCCCACCCTACAAACGTGTCAAATGCACATGGCGTAATTTCAAGGTAGTCCTTATTACCTTCTAAAAAATAGGGAAGTAATGCTTTTCTGTGTATTTCAGTCACTCAATGTAACCAGTATGTAATTAAGTATTCCTATTTATCTGCAGTCAGTCACCGGGGCCGTGATCAACGAGGGGGCTAAGGAGCCTCAACCTCCTTTCCCCCTCGCAAGATTTCAATTTTGCTTGCTAGGGCTATGAGTTGAAGCTTGGTGCTTTGAAAGAAAAAACTGTCCAACGTATGCTTATAGCCCCTATCAGTCAGATTCAATTTTGACATTATTACATCTGATTTGGGCCCTGAAGCGTGGCATGTTGAACGACCCGTCGAACATCGCAGTACCTTCCCCTAAGTGACCGGTTACAGTCATGCGCAGTGAGCTGATATCAAAACACCGTGACTGAAGTCAAGTCAGGACACATTGACTGCGGAGAAGGCTCCGTTCTACCAATCAGCAATCTATCTTGTTCTCTAATTGCCAGAAGTTGGCACAACTACAGCACGAAAAGTGCCGTACACAAACGCAGTCACCGCTGCTGAAGAGGATAAAACCAATTGGCATACGCCAACTATACACGCACGGTCTGTCTTTAAAGTATTGAGACAGTGCCTTGTAAAAAAAATATTGATGTGCTCGGCACACATTGTTCAAATTCTTCAAAATAGCTTCCTTGGGCATTGATACACCACCTCCAACGCGATTCGCCCACTCTAAAGGCTTCTTGAAAATTAGCTGTCATGGCCTATATCAGAGACTGTCGCAGCCCGTTAGCGGAGACCACAACGTGAAAACACTGAGGTGTATTACTTTGTTAAGGGGGGGGGGGGGGGGGGGCTTTGGGAAGAAATAAATCTGTCTGGATCACAAGAAAGCTGATTCAGACCATAAGCCTCACTTGCTGGGCTGCGGCGTGGCTCGCGTGACATTTATTATTAAAATAGTAATAATAATATCGAAGAACTTATATCCCAAAACTACCATGTCATTGTGAAAGACGCCGCGGGCGAGAGCCCCGAAAATTTCTACCATATTGTATTCTCTAACGTGCGCATACGTCGCACAACACACGGCATATACCATTTTGCCTCCATTGAAATGCGACCATCGCAGCCAGCATCGAACCCACGTAATTCCGGTCAGCAGCCGAAGTTATTTTATCACGGTACATTCCTCTATGAACGCAGTGCATTCGAGACCATGTGTACAGCCGTGGAACAAGATAAAATATTTTCATGTACACCGATGCACTTTGTCACAAAGACCGGTGTATATAAGGAGCTCGCACCCG